CAGATGCTGGAGAAGACCCCGACAGTGCAGCTCAGCCCAGCGCTTCTGCGTGCCTGAGAGTGGCTCCTGCAAAAAGTCTCCTCTCGAGGCAAGGAAAAAGACCGGCAAGAACAAACTCCGATGACGAGAGTGGAGACCGTGAGTTGATACAGAACAGCATCTGGCCCTGGAGCTGCCTGGCCCTGGTACTGGATCCTATTTCTCAGCTTTAACTGACCATGAAAACTGCAAGTCTGACGATGGGAACAGCTCTGCTGCCCCTCCTGCACTGGCAGGCCAGGTCACACCACTTCCCTCTGTCACCAAGAGAGGCCTGGCTATTTTTTAAGTGAATCTGTGCAATATTGTGGTTAAACAGACCATGGTCCAACTCCTTGGGTCTTGGTGCCAGACCCTCCTGAAAACCCTGGTGAATTGGGACTGCAGAGCTCCCTTGGGGTCCCTGTAGCCCCCCTGCCCTGCTTTCCTGCTCTCTGGAAAGGGTGGCAGGACCCCCTGGCACATGGGGCTGGGGGCTTGGGGGCAGTTAGTAAACAGGATGGCACAAATGGGGGCCACAGCCACTATCTGAACCCCCCCCAAACACACCCCCCAGCATCCTCTGTGCACAGCTCCTGCACCCAGCCCAGGGCACAGGCAAGAGAGGCAGGGGCTCACCACGTGCCTGCCCAGCATCCCCCATCCCCTTCCCTTTGAACCTGAGCCCCCATCCCTTTGTCTCCGCATCCTCACATGGCTGCAAGCCCACCCCAGCACCGCCGGATGGAGATGGGCCACCTGGGCAGGGCTGGGGTTGGCAGAGGGGTGCACAGCATCCTTCGGTCACCCTCCCAGACACATGGGGGCTGGGGCAGGGAGAGCTTGGGCAGCCCCTGCCCTCCCTGATGATGAATGAGCTGACAATAGGGTATTGATAAGGAATTAACCTTGAGCCCTTCTTGCTTCAGTGTCAATAGAGCAGGAGCCAAGTACACACGTTTGATTGGAAATCTGTGTTTGGCCTCTGCCGCCTCTGCGCCCATCGACGTGCTGGGGAGACGAAAGGGGGATGCAAACTGCCCTGCTGCCCCCTCCCCTGTCCGGACCCCCCCGTGGGTCCCTCTCTGCTCCCCCAGCCCATGGCTGCTATGGTTGACCATGGGCACCTGGCTCTATGG